CAAGAACGTAATTTCTCAAAAATCTCGTTCTTAACGAGGGATCAATTTTAAATCGGCATCGCGCGTTAGAATGCGGCCATAAAAATTGAATTCTTTTAATGCTTCTGCGCGCTGCAACTTCGTTAATTTCAATCGTTTAAAAAGAGTTTCAAACCGATCGGTTGACATTTCGAATTTACGAATATAATGGCACCGAGTGTTAGTATTAAGCAACAGTGAATTGGTTACTAAAATTATAGTTTACGTGAAAAATATCATTAATCATTCGGAAAGTCTACGCAAGCCAGTTGGAAATGTATTTGCGTGAATATTCATGAGGATTCGTTCGTTGGTCTCGTGGAATCGCGAGCTTGTTGTCAAAAGGCGAAGTAAATTAGTGTAAATTAACACTGGTTGCGGTCGAAAAACGAGAGAAAATTATCGGCGCCGAAAATCGGCAAGGATCACGCGAATGGCGCGTGCTTGCTTACCGATCAGAGAACCTGGATTGTCGCCTGTGAATGCAATTATGCGGCATGCCTCGTCGAAGCCGAATCTCTCGACGAAATAGGACGAAATCGGGCCGATGTCGCTGCTCGAGGAAACTGGTTTCCCGAGTTTTTCTCGTAAACCAAGACCGCAGGCCTGAACAAACGATCGGTCAAATATTGAAAGAGCGTTATCTGTGGGTTTAAGAATGATGTCTACGTTCAAAGAAATAGATTAACGATCATTGACAAAATTTTATATGTGTATATAACTCGAGTGCTCGAATTCGAAAGAATTTCGATTTTATTTGATATTTAAATTCCCGAACATTTACGGATTTTCCAGCCATTTCATTGATGTCGAGCATACGAAATGGAATGAAACAGGTTCGCATAATGTCACGCTAGAGTTCGAAATTATCGAACGGAGGAGAGTGGAGGAGGATATTTCTGCCGGTGAATATACGAATACACGAATCGTTTTATTGTATCATAATTCAGATCTGTCTAGAGGAAATCTAGTAACCATCAATTGTGACAATTTACATACCTCCAGTAGCACGTCGTCCCAATCTTTCGTATGAATATTCAACAGATTCATTCCGGAGCCATCGGACCAATCGATCGGCGCGAAATCGCCCATGAACAAGGAAGCGAGAAAACTGCTGACCAAAGAGATCCTCTGAAAACAGCGTCAGAAACTTAAAGCTATATAAAATATCTTATTTAAACAGCTCGTTTAAACGTTTGATGCGTATTAGTGACGAATATATACGGTGTTTGACAGCTTAACTTTTGTCAATCAACTCTACGGTTGATCGTGTTAAGCATCTCTGCAAACAGGAATTTTTCAAAATGTTAAAAACGTGCACTGCCTTTCTTTCTTTTTAAAGATATTCTGAGCAAGCAACGCTGATTCTAATTGGTAAGACTCGTGTTTGCGCGCGTTCTCTGGCAACAATTTTCCTACATTTTACGACCTAAACAGAGATGTCATCGAGTTAGACGATATATCTGTTAACATATATCTGTTCCGTGCCAAGCGATTTTTGCCTTTTGTTGTCGTTCAGGCCATTTAATATTTTGACTAAACGTTGATATATGATTATGACACAATCTTTCATTACATCATCAATCGATAAGTAGTTCTCTTGTTTAGA